TATATATATATATATATATATATATAAATATATATATATATATATATATATATATATATATATATATATATATATATATATATATATATGTAGTAGGTTGGTAGACAGCAACCACCCAGGGAGGTACTACCGTCCTGCCAAGCGAGTGTAAAACGAAAGCCTGTAATTGTTTTACATGATGGTAGGATTGCTGGTGTTTTTTTTCTGTCTCATAAACCTGCAAGATTTCAGGTACATCTTGCTACTTCTACTTACACTTAGGTCACACTACACATACATGTACAAGCATATATATACACACCCCTCTGGATTTTCTGCTATTTTCTTTCTAGTTCTTGTCCTTATTTATTTCTTCTTATTTCCTTTGGAAAGTGAAACAGAATTCTTCCTCCCTAAGCCATACGTGTTATAAGAGGCGACTATTGGTAACACTGACGTACTGTTGTCATAGTTTCAGATTACTGCTAACCAGAACTCCTAAATCCTTTTTGCAACTAGTAATATTAAGATTTACATTATTTTGTTTATGTGTAGCATGGTTATTTTCCTGTCCAATATTTATAACTTTGCATTTGTCTATATTAAACTGCATCTGCCACTTCTCCGACCACTGCATGAGTCTATTCAAATCATCCTGGAGTGCTCTAATGATCTCATTAGATTGAATTGGATGGCCTATTTTGGTATCATCAGCAAATTTGCTTGTGGCGCTATTTATTCCCTCATCTATGTCGTTTATGTAAATTGTGAACAACAAGGGGCCCAACACTGACCCCTGTGGAACACCACTTTTGATGTGCCTCCATTCTGATTTCTCCCCATTTATGCAAACTCTCTGTTGCCTATTTGTCAAACATGCCTCTACCCAGGAAAAAATTTCTCCTCCTATTCCATGTGTTTTAAGTTTCCTCAATAGCCTCTGATGTGGAACTCTGTCGAAAGCCTTACTGAAGTCCATATACACAATATCATATTCATTACCATGATCTACATCCTCAAATAAACTCGTAAGACAGGAACGCCTATTTGTAAAACCGTGTTGAGATTCATCAATCAATTTACGCCTATCAAGATGGTTACGAATTGCCTACGCAATTACTGAGTCCATAAATTTTCGAACTATGGAGGTAAGGCTTATTGGTCAATTGTTTAAAGCTAAGGACCTGTCACCTACCTTGTAAATAGGTGATACCTTTGCCATTTTCCACTTGTCTGGCACTATGCCAGTTTGTAGTGATATGTTGAAAAGATTTTCCAAAGATTTGCTAAGTTCCTCTTTACTTTCCTTTTAAACCCTTGCAGCAGGGGCTGGGGATTTGCTAGGTTTTAATTTTTCTATTTGTCTGAGGACCATGTCACTAGTTACCCCAATTGTGCATAGTTTATTATCGTCCTGCTCTACATAATTTATTATTTCTGGAATTTCGCTAGTATCTTCCTGGGTAAAAACTGAGAGGAAGTAAGTGTTAAAAATTTCACACATTTCCTTATCACTGTCAGTGATCTGACCTGAGTTACTCTTAAGTGGGCCTATCATGTCCCTGTTCATACTTCTGTATACCTGAAAGAACCCTTTAGGGTTAGTCTTCGAATCCCTTGTGGCTTTAGCCTCATAATCCCTTTTTGCTTTTCTTATTCCTCTTTAATTGAATATATTGATTTCTTAACTGCCCATTCCCTCTTTTGATACGCGTGTATATACCTGCTTGGACCATAAGTTGTCTGGGCAGCTAAAACTATGCTCTGAAAAACGTCATATAGGCAACCATCACCCAATGTGACCCATACTCAGGTCATTGCAATTGAGCCAGCCAGGTAATTTCTCAGTCTCATGAAATTGGCCAAGCAGAAGTCTGGGACAGAGACTTGATTGCGGTTATTTGGGTAGTTCCATGATATATTGAAACTAAGTGATTTGTGATTGCTTTCTCCAAGCTCATTATTAACCTCAAGATTATTAATTAGCAATTCTTTGTCGGCAAGAACCAAGTCAAGCAGGTTGTTTCCTCTAGCTGGTTCTGTCACAAACCATTATAAAAGCAATCCTGAACCGTATCTAGAAAGTCACTTGACTCAAGATTTCCTGTCATATTGTTCCAATCAATTTGTTTAAAGTTAAAATCCCCCATTAACACAACATTTTCATATCTAGATGGCTTATGAATTTCGTCCCATAGCAGCTTCCTGTATTCCCTATTAAGGACTGGGAGCCTATAAATCACACCCAAAATTATTTTTTCACGACCCTCGAGAAACTGTAGCCAAACGGATTTCATGTCCGATGCTTCTTATCTTATACCTTGTCTAAGACAACAATTTAAATTATCGCTGACAAACATCACCACTCTACCACCCTTTCTGTTGACCCTATCAGTGTGGAATAGTTTATAACTCTGTGTGTTGCATTCAGAAGGCATTTCTCTATCTTTCAAGTTGAACCAGGTCTCTGTTATAGCAATAATATCTATATTACCTACACTTGCAAGTAATCTTAGCTCATCTATCTTATTTCTTAGATTCCTACTGTTAGTATAGTAAACCTTAAGGGAGCTAGTCACTCACTGCCCTGTGCTGTCTCTGCTTGTTGATCAATTTCTTTGCCTTTACTAGCAACTTTATACTAAATATTGTCATTTAAATATATCCCTGAAGTATGCTTCAGGGACAGGTTGACCTGACGTGACCACTGACCACAGCCCAGTAGCTGTTAAGGTATGAGTGATGAGTAAGAAGTTGCCCCAGAGGAGTGTATTTTTTAGCATCTCACTCTGGAAACAATATGCTGAATGAAGTGATGCTCACTTTTTTGGGCTCAAAAGCCCACACCTTACTGCCATGTTTAGGACAACCTCAGTCACCTGGTGTCTACATAAAACTACAGTTTCTAGGTTCTACAAGAGAGACTAAGACTTACCTTGTTCTTTGTAATGTGAGCTATTCAAGGATGTTAGTAGAGATAGATAGATCATTGTCCTGACGTGGGGGAGGTAGGGTGAGGTAAGGTGAAGTCAGGAGAGAAGTTTAGAGGGTTTAGGCCGTTTGCAGAGAAAAGATCATTCAGAAGTTTTGGGAAGTTGATGTCGAAGTGTTTGGCAAGGATAACGGAAGTGTGGACGATGAAAGAGATCTGACTGTTTGTTTGGCTAGGAATTGTAATAGAAGGCAAGGATGTAGCGAGTCCTCTGGCGGTATTTGCATATGTGGAGGATGTGGTAGGAGTGGTGGAAGGAGAGGAGGATGTAGTGGGTAGAGTTGGGAAGCTGGCAGAGGTGAGAAATAGTTGAGGATGAGAAGAGAAAGGTTAGGAGAAATAACTGGTTTCTCAGAGCGTTTAGGGCATTGATAGGAAGTGGCAGGGTAAGGTTGTTGGCAATTTGGACATTTTAGTGGGCGAGAGCAGTTAATCTAGTAATGCTCAGAGGAAGAGCATTTAGAGCAAATTTGGTGTTTTGAGCAGGAAGATTTATCACGACCAAATTTGTAGCACTTTAGAGATTATAGAGTAGGTATGAAGAGAGAGGTAGCAGGAATAATTTAGATCTTGGCACGAATGCCATGCTGGAGGAGATATGAAGCTTCCTCGGACGTAGAACAGCGAAGTTTAAGGATGTGTAAGGAGGGCGGTCTGTAGATATCTTCAACGGTGACATTATTTTTGTGAGCAAGGTCGAGTTCTAGGTCATTGCACTCGGTGTCGTAGGCGGCCAGAATAGAGTTGTCGACGTGCATTGCGACAACTGTGCTCCTGGCTCTATATTCAGGAGTCCAGCTGATCGCAAAGCCAATCTCAGAAAGCTTAGCTCTAATGTCCATGGAGCAATAGATTTTGTAGGAGGCAGATGAAGGGCTGATGAAGCCACTGTGTGGCGAAACGTTTCTTCATTAAAAATTCCCAGAAGTTGCATAAGTGTCTCAATCTTTAACTTATCGGTTTTCAAAACCATTTATCACACAAGAATAATTTTAAGGCCAGAGTTAGTCCTAACAAGGTTGACAAAATGGGCCTGAATAAGTTGGAATAAGAGGTTAGCAGCATCACGTTTGGAATAATTATTATTATTATAATCAAGGGGAAGCGCTAAACCCGGAGGATTATACAGCGCCTGGGGGGGATGTGGAAGGCATTCAGGCTTAATTCGGGGAACTGGAGCACAGATTCAATTCCCTAAATCAAGAGCCCCTCACCAACACCAAGGAACCTCCCTTGAGGGGAGGTTTGGAATAAGTAATCAGTCCATCAATCTTGATGGACTGATTACATCGACTCAAGGCTGAGGGACTGATTACCTCAAACTCCTCCTGTTCTTCACCATTCTCCTTTGTATGGACTGATGAAGCCACTGTGTGGCGAAACATTTCCTCATTAAAGATACCCAAGTGTTGCACATGTGTCTAATTTATCAGGCAACAGGAGTGCTGAGGGAGACGACTTGCCCTTTGGAAAGCAGCCAACGACGCACCAGTCTTGTCGTTGAGGACGAAGAGACAGATCCCAGGAAGCAACACACAAGTTATAAGGATTCCCCCAATCACGGGATCATAAGTCTGTGTTTTATTACAAGAGAATCTTCTTGTTTAACTTGTGGTCATCTTGCAAATAACTCAGTCATTTAAAATATTTTCGAGGTTAGTGAAAAATCACATTAAGGCAATTAGAATTTTTAAATAAATTTTTAATTCCAACATAACAGAAACAAACACTTAAAAAAATCTCACGAAACCTTAAGTACTTAAAAATTAAAAGCTATTACAAGGAGAAAGTGAACTGCAAACATAGAATCTTAATTAAAAAAGTATTAAGGAAATTAAAAATGTTATTTTCAATGCTTCTCAGGAGAATAATTAGACTTTACTTAATTAACTTTGCATCAAATATCCTTGTTCGTAAATGATTTAATAAATATTAAACAAAGTTTGTCACACAAAATGATGTGTCTCAACCTTTCAGAACCTTAGTTAAATAGACTTTTCCATGTTTTAATATTCATTAAAACACAGCGATGTTGACTGACAGCACCAGAGGCTCGGCGCTCCACTTGCTACCTACTGTGACTATTATTATATTGATATACAAAGCTCTAAATCTGTGTAGGTCATTCAGCACAAAGAGTGGTGAAGGCTTAGTCCTCCGTCTGGTAATTGTGATGTAGACACCTTAATTATTGGGAACGTTTGAAGTCACTTGACTTCAAAGGGGATGTAAACAGAGTGCTAAAAATATCTAGCCAAGACAGGACTCGCAGCAATGGTTTCAAGTCGGAAAAATTCAGATTCAGGAAGGATATAGGAAAGCACTGGTTTGGTAATAGAGGTGTGGATGAGTGGAACAAACTCCCCAGTACAGTTATAGAGGCTAAAACGTTGTGTAGTTTTAAAAATAGGTTAGATAAATACATGAGTGGGTGCGGGTGGGTGTGAGTTGGACCTGGCTAGCTTGTGCTACTAGGGCAGATGCGGTGCTCCCTCCTTAAGTGAATGTGACCTGACCTAACTAGGTTAGGGCATAGGCTTAAGCCGGTAGGAGACTTGGACCTGTCTCGCATGGGCCAGTAGGCCTGCTGAAGTGTTTCTTCTTTCTTATGGTTTTATGTTCTTATGTACTCAGTGGAGAGCAGGTGAGAGAAATACTTGCATCATAATCTACACCTGAAAAGTCCTAGAGGGACTTTTTCCAAATCTGCACTCAGAAATCACTCCATAGAAAAACAAAAGACTGGACAACAAACTCCCATTGAAAAGTAGAGGCGCCATGAGCACACCAAGAGAAAGCACAATAAATATCCGGGGCCCAAGACTGTTAACAGCTTCCCACCAAGCATAAGGGGAATTAATAGATCCCTGGCTGCCTTCAAGAGGGAGCTTAACAGATACCTAAAGTCAGTACCCGATCAGCAGGGCTGTGGTTCATACACTGGACTTCGTGCGGCCAGTAGTAGCAGCCTGGTTGATCAGTCTCTAATCCACCTGGCGACTAACACCAGACGACTAACACCCAGGTACCTACTTACTGCTAGGTGAACAAGTGCAGCAGGTGTTAAGAAACATTCGCAACCTTTCCACTTGTGTTCGTCACACTGCTTTGGAAGTATTATCTAAACAATAAACAGGGTAGAAATAAATGGTATAAAATACCGACACAGTGGAAATATAAACACATAAGCAGTATAATGTGAGCCTTTATTGACGTTTATGTAAATGAGAAAAAAAGGGCCAAGGACACTTCCCTGTGGGACACCAACTGAATTGGCTGTGCGGAAGAGTTTACTCCATTTGTGTACACATATTGGCTTCTGTTGCTAAGGTATGACTTTAGGTAGTTGAGGGAGTGCCCTCTTATACCATAATGTGATAATTTTATGTGCAGCAAATCATGGTCAACTGGATCTAAAGCTTTACGTAAATCAATGAAGATTCCCAAAGGGACTTCTTTTTTCTCGAGTGCAGTGTATATTTGTTCTAGCATGTGTATTTTTATTAGGCCTGAACCCAAATTGACAGGGGCTGAGTATGTTGTGGGAGATGAGGTAGAAATAGATTCGCTTATGAATTAGTTTTTCAAAGATTTTAGAGAGAGGGTGTAAGTTGGATATTGGCCTATAGTTATTCAAGTCTGTTTGGTCTCCTCCTTTATATATCGGGGTGACCCTCGCTATTTTGAGAACTGTGGGGAAGGTAGAGTATTCGATGGATTTGTTAAAGAGTGTTGCAATGATTGGTGACAGTACCTGTAAAGCTTTTTTGTATATAATATTTAAATCTCCTGTCTTGTTCGTTAGTGTGTTGATAATAAGAGAGACTTCTCTTGGGTTGGTCGGAGCTAGGAATAGTGTGTTCGGGTAGGTGCCAGTGTTGGTCGGTGCTAGGAATAGTGTGTTCGGGTAGGTGCCAGTGTTGGTCGGAGCTAGGAATAGTGTGTTCGGGTAGGTGCCAGTGTTGGTCGGTGCTAGGAACAGTGTGTTCGGGTAGGTGCCAGTGAGGTAGTCATTAGGTGGGGTATTTGAGCTTGGGATTTTACCCACAAGGTTTATTCCTATGGTGGAGAAGAAAACATTGAGTCTGTTTGCTGTTTCAGTAGGTGAGAGTTGGGGTTCATCTGGTTTTGTTAGTTTGTTCTGTTTCCTGATATCTTTTTTGTTCGTAGAATTTCAGATAGGGTTTTCAAGGTCTTTTTTATATCACCTTTTAAGTTGGATAATCTGTTCTCATAATACAATTTTTTTGCCCTTCTTATCAGGCTGGTTAGGACTGATGAGTAACGTTTTGTTTGGTCTTTGGTTATGTGACCCAATCTGTAATTTTTTCATATAGGTGCTTTATATTTATGGATTTGAGGATGCTGAGTGTTAGCCAAAGACTGTTCGGTCTCTTAGCTGTGATCTGTTTAGTTTTTTTTAGGACAGTGCTTCTTATAGAGGTATTGGATCTTTTCTAGAAAATTATTAATACATTCGTCAGTATCTGTATAGATTTCTAGCTCAGTTTACCAGTCGATGTTTGTCATTGCTGTTGTGAAGTTATTAATGGCTGCCTCATTATGAAATATGAAAGTAATTATAGTAGTGTCTTGGGGTAATTTACCTAGAATGGTTATGAGAAAGGTAGGGTAGTGGTCTGTGGTATTATCTGTGATTATGCCTGATTTTAAAGGGATATGGTGTTGGTCCAGATGTGGTCTAGTAGTTAAACACTAGTCTCTGTAATTCTTGTAGGTTTTGTTACTGTTGGTAGCAACAAGCAGTTGCTCATAGTGTTGGTCAATTCTGTTACATGTGGGTCCTGGTCTTGCAGGAAATTTATATTGAAGTCTCCTGAGAGTAGTAAGTGATCTTTATTCATGTGTGCATCAGTTATCATACTTCCTAGGTTTTCACTAAAATGGCTAATGTTTGACTGTGGTACTCTGTAGATGTTTATCACTGTGAGAGGCTTTTGTAGGTATTTGGATTTGAATTTAAGTGTTATATATTTCCATGTTCATCCCTTGTGCAAGTATTATTGATACATTCTAGTTGGTCTGAGTAGTATATAGCAGTGCCACCCCTTTGTTGGTCTGCCCTACAGTTGTGTATGGCTGTGTAACCAGAAATGGCATAGACATCTGTAGTATCAGGCTTTAGCCAGGTTTCGGTGAGAGTAATGATGGACATACTGGCATGCAGGGAATTTAGTAATGCTGTGAGGTCATCGTAATGTTTGCTTAAAGATCTGACATTGTAGTTAAAGACAGTTATGTTTGGAAACAGAAGGGAAGGCAACTATGAAGAACTGGTGGACAACGTCATCAAGGCTTACAAGAACATGGGATGTAACATGTCACTTAAAATCCACTTTTTGGACTCACATTGAGACTTTTTTTTCAGTGAACTGTGAGGCAGTTAGTGACGAACATGGTGAAAGGTTTCACCAAGATATTTCAACCATGGAAAAATGTTACCAGGGCAAATGGGGCACAAGAATGTTTGCAGACTATTGCTGGACGGATTAGAGTTTAAAACATACTGACACATATTGTACGTTAAAATAAAATAATAAAATATTATATGTCTCGTATCTTTAAACCTATAGCCAATAAGCATTTTTCAAGGTGATATTTGGATTCAGGACATGAAAATGCATAAGAATTAACTAATCTCATTTAAGAAGCAAACAACTTTTCAAAAACTGTTGACCAGTGTTACTTGTTGCGAGCAATTGTAGGTTTTTGCTGACTCCCACACATGTGTACACACCATACTGCTGCCACACCAAGCTTATAATTCCACAAAATTCGGTTTGGAAGCAGATATAATGAGTCATGGTTTAGTATTGGAATGTTATAACTGACTTGCTAAAACTACCCAGACAAACGGTGCCAAAATACGTGCAACACATGTACTTAGAGAAATGTAAATAGAGAGTTATTCAGACAGGTTGATTCACTTTTACAACTCGAGAGAGTTCTGCTCCACAGGACCCACTCCTCCAATTTCTTAATGTAACCACCAACAGCCTGACGGGCCACGATTCCAGGCTAGAGTCCAGCTTCCATCAATCCTTATAATTCTACCCCTAATTTTTAAAGAGGTGGTCTGGTAAGCCAGCGGAAAGCCTCGGTCAGATGACCAAAAGTTCCAGTGGCGGGTCATCATATAATTTAGACCCGCGTCCGGAAACACTTGTCCTCTTTCCTGACAAACCTTACCTAACTCTTTACGTCGAGTGACCTAAGGGTTGAACTTTCCCTGGAATACATTGCATTCCTCTGCGTCTCCTCTGTCCGGGTTACTCACTCGACACTAGACTTTATGCAGTCCAACTCGGTCGTAGTGACTCTATACCTGGGGATACTTTAGACTTCACATAACATTCATTGTGACGTTTCTCTTGCTGTAGTTTCAAGGTTGAGGATCAGTATTGGGTGATTCCTAGACTAACGAATTTTCTTTATGTAAATTATAGCATCTCGGTAAATATAATGCTAATTATCTGCGCATTTATTATTATTATTATTATTATTATTATTATTATTATTATTATTATTATTATTATTATTATTATTATTACTATTATTATATGAAAAGCCCTAAACTCGTATGTGTTTCTCCACTTACGATAGCTTACCCTTTTTAGATCACCGTTGCAGAAGTCCCACATTTCATTCCTGCAGAAATATTCACACTGAGTATTTAGCACTGATATTCTCATAATGTTACTGAAATTCCGTTTTCTTTCTCTAAAAGACAGAGGATGATGGCCGTAAGTCAAGGTCGGGTTTATCCTCCAGTTCCCTGGCTCAACAGGAGCAGCTGGAGCGACCACACAATCTTCCTGGTGGCCAAGGCATCAGCGACGGGCAGGGAGGAAGAAATCTCAGCTCATATTCCTTGGAACTCGGCTTCCGTGCACCGTCAGCGCCGCAACACACCAAATCTGCGTTGGGGGTAGATTTGGCCGAGCAAAATTCCCCACGTTCCATTCCATTATCCTACAGTAGCTTTTCATTCCTGCAGTTCAGCGGCCTCCCAGGTGGCGCTTCAGATGCATCAGCTGGTCCCGGATCAACACACCAGCCTCGCCCAGTTACTCACTCGCTTACCAGGACACTGACGCCCCCGCGGAGACAAAGTGTTCAAAAACCTAGTAAAGATTATTTTCACCCTGAGAGTCATCGTTTGTCTCAGTACGAAGACAACCACAGCTTCCCCCAGCACGGGGACAGTCATCGCTTCCCCCAGCACGGGGACAGCCATCGCTTCCCCCAGCACGGGGACAGTCATCGCTTCCCCCAGCACGGGGACAGCCATCGCTTCCCCCAGCACGGGGACAGTCATCGCTTCCCACAGCACGGGGACAGTCATCGCTTCCCCCAGCACGAGGACAGTCATCGCTTCCCCCAGTACGAGGACAGTCATCATTTCCCTGGCGATAACAACAGAGTTCGCTTCCCTGAGCATGAATTCAGTCACGGTTCTTCCCAGTATGAAGACAACAGACATACTCCTGGATATGAAGACAGCAGACATTCACCTGGTTATGATGACAGCAGATATTCGCCTGGATATGGAGACAGCAGACATTCTCCTGGATATGAAGACAGCAGAAATACTCCTGGATATAAAGACAGCAGACACTCTCCTGGATATGGAGACAGCAGACACTCGCCTGGATATGAAGACAGCAGACACTCGCCTGGATATGAAGACAGCAGACACTCGCCTGGTTATGAAGACAGCAGACACTCGCCTGGATATGAAGACAGCAGAAATACTCCTGGATATGATGACAGCAGAAATACTCCTGGATATAGAGACAGACACTCGCCCATGAATAAAGAAGATTACTACTCTCTGACATATCAAAGTGGTCGTCACTACCCTCCGTATAAAGAGGGTCGTTACTCTCCCCAGTATGACACTGGTCATTACTCTCCCCAGAACAAAGACAACAGCTACTTCCCCCAGTACGAGGCAGGTCACCTGGACCCACTTCGGACGGATCGGCATTCTGCCCCCCGCCCAACGCCCCACGACCCGGAATCTTCCAGCTACGACCGAGACCATAACAACCCCTGCAAGGTCGTCGATAAGAAGGGCATGACTTGTAAAGTAAGGTTTAGTATTCGAAATTCATTCTGTAAAACATCCACTATACCGAACACTGAGTCGTAACCTTGGCACACGTAAACATAATATTCCTGATCTCGAGTTTTCAATAGCAGAACAGACTGATAAAGCTGAGAGAACTTTCGTCATCCAGGAACGTTTTCCTCTGAGGACGAAATGTTTTCTCAGTAAGCTGTCATACACCTCATATTAATTATGAATTCATGAAAAGGGCTAGACCCATGTGGGTCATTTAACGCAAGACGTGGTGGAAGTTAGATCCTCCGTCTGGTGACAGCGAGACAGACTCGCTTCCTATTTGTACTCACCTTGATGCCCATGCATTGTTTGATGTGTCTTGTTTACATAAATATATGTTTGCACATATGGCTACTGCAGGTGTGTCAGGACAACGAAGGTGGCTTCTCGGAGCACTGTTCCCACAGCAGCAGCCGGGGTTATGACTCCTACTACAACAACAGCCGAGGACACAGTGGCCAACACCCCAGCTACAACAACAGCCGGGGTCATGACTCCTACTACAACAACAGCCGTAGACACAGCCACCAACATCCCAGCTCCAACGACAGACCAGTGGTGCACATAACCAGGCGTGCGACCCTCACACCACTTCCCTCTATATCACCAGGTAGGCCGATGGATCAGTTCATGTATGTCCCCATGTAAGCTGTAAGGTTAATTCTTCTATGTCCCCAAGTAGTTTGAAAGATTAATCCTTCTGTTTCCCAGGTAGTCTTTATGAACACCGTAAGTTTAAGTGGATGGAGTACGACAACTTTACATACTCCGATGAGAAGGGCAAGTGCAGAACAAAATGAAATAAAAAACTAGAATAACAAAAACTTGAGGATTGTGACGTGTGCGTAAGCTAGAGGTAAAAGCAATCGACACTCACAAATTGAAAGAGAAATGGACTGAATCGCTGCCGACATCTGCATGAGAGTAGGGAAATATCCTCTATAACTGAACGAGAGGCACTGTAGAGTGAGACAGGATTGCAACACTGGCGTCCTTTCACGGATAGCTACCGCCCTGCAGCAAAAGGAGAGGCAGTATAGTGAGGCACCAGCGGGAAGCACTAGCGTCCCTCTCCTCCCAGCTCGTGAAATTGGTATACAAGTCGACTCTAAATCCCTCATAACACGTGTGTGCCCAGCTGATAACCTCAGAGCAGTCCTCTTCGACTCCTATCACTTTTCTCCTCCCCTGCCTACCTCTGCACTGCGCTGGCCTTCAGACCTGAAGAGGAAGATGGTGTATATAAACGACCGGTTTTCTGGGTTGTCGAGGAGAAATCAAGTTGTGGATATTATTGCTTAGTCTTGGTCTTAGCTCTAATTTTCTTCTCTTAATCTTCTTGTATTTCACACACTACACATGCTACAGAACATTGCCTGGCACACACAGCACTGCCTCGCACACACAACATTGCCTCGCTAATAAACCACTGCTTCCTCACACAACACTGCTTCCCAAACAAAATACTACCTCGCAAATGCAGCACTGTCTCTAACATGCAGCACTGCCAGCACATTCAGCACTGCCTCGCACACACAAAAGACTTATGAGCACCATCCCCCCATCTTCCGACTTGTATACACACAATATTATTTTTCCCAGATGCTAGTGCACCGTGTGTGCATTCACCCACTTCGTAGGACTTTCTTGGACACGATAATAAAACACTGGTAATGCTCATGACCACTAGAGTTCTTCAACCTCTTCAACTCCAAGGGCTCTTTCAATGCAGTCTACTTCAATTGAGGCCGAAACAGACAAGATCCCTAATACCTTCGCTGCGAATATACTCAAGGACTGTAATTTTGAGGCAATTCCATCTCCAGCTCTAAGGACCATGAAATTTGTGTTTGTGAATCAACTGCCGACCCGAAACCTCTCGCTGAAGATGTAAATGATTGAGCCGCAATCGACATGGCACCACAGTCACTTAACGATTGACTACGAATCTCTTATTACCACGTGAATCCAAGAAACAAAGCCAGAGAGACACCATTAAATTACCTCATACTGGAACTGTTACTCCTACACATACCTCGTATAAAGTCTGCTCATTGAAGAAGAAATATTGCAATAACTGCTGCAGCGAAGGACACAAAGACTGCATCTCAACCTCTCTGTCGAAATGTCTCAACTGCAAGAGTAACCACTACACTCTTGCAGCCAAGTGCCCAAATAGGAAGGAAATCGTCACCAGCAGTAAAAACACTCAGCCACCAAAAGAAGCTAAACTCTGCTAAGGAACCAACGTATGTTGCTGTCACCCAGCTTCAAGACGACATCAAGAAGATTCTTCTAGAAACAAAACAATTTGTCTCTACAATTTGCCTCTGTCAATACTATTCCAACATTCCAAGACTGCGCTCCCACCAAGATCACGTACTGCATGATGCAGGGCCACATGAAGAGCGCCACCTTCTCTAGAACCTTCAACGCCACGAAGAATGATTTTTTCTTCTCAAGTACCTGCCTAGCTTCAGTTTTCCTGGCACTACACCATCAACTGAAACACTGAAAATCTTCACCAAGACAACCACAGCTTCCCCCAGTATGAGGACAGTCATCACTTCCCCCAGCACGAGGATAGTCATCGCTTCCCCCAGCACAAGGGCAGTCATCGCATCCCCCAGCACGAGGACAACCATCATTTCCCTGGCGATAAAAACAGAGCCGCACAAGCCACTCCTAAATCACCAGTTGCACCAGCCACTCCGCCTGTCACCACCTCCACACTCACTCCAACTCCACCTGAAGATCAAGTCTCCTCTACCTCTTACGGAGAACTGGAGTCGACGTCCACATCCCTGGCCTCACCTGGAAAAAATCTACGAGTATTTATTGCACCAACGGACATGAACACCTTGTTCGCCAAAGAACTTTATCCCCGGACTCTGCAATGGAGCTGTCAAATGTCTCTGTTGCCTTTGACAACTTCATACCACGACAAGTAAAATTTAGTGAAACAATTCATTCATAACTCCGACAACTATGCCAACCTCACGTTCCTACCAAAATAGGATTAAGAATTGATTATTCTAAACAACAGTGAACAAAATCGTGCTCTCTTCCCAGCCAAACTGATTCTAGACTGTTTCCGGATTGTTCCCAGACTGTTCCTGCCAAACTGCTGCTACACTCATCCTCACCGTCAAGCTCTCAGCTGCTGGGTTAAGCCATAGCTCTGCTTCCACGGCCGAAGACACTCCTCACCTGCGCTATTCTTCGCTTATCGCCACTTCCCCATTTATCCTTACCCGAGAGCCCGTTCACAACTCACCTTAGCTGAACCACCTCATCCTACTCACGTCATCCTACCCACCCCATCTCCATACAAATTTCAACCTATCCTGTTCTCATTACACAGAAACACAATACAATTACACAACACCTCGCACTCCCAAAAAACACAGTCAAACAACATCCACACACAACACAGCCACAACACCCCCACATGACAATCAAACTCCAGCATAATACGACCACACTCCACCACGAGCTTCCCTGCCAACACACATGCAGATTCACCACATTGAACCCGGTGACTTCACCCACCAAGGCATAGGATCGCCTCAACCCACCCACCCCTTCCTTTATATGCCTTATTCTTGGTGGGTGCCAGTTCCCTCACAAACCCACAACCTGCCCTCCCAAGATCACACAGTTCACTGCACACTAATCCCATCTGGGCACGCCTGACCGACTGCCTTCAACTGGTAGTGCCTTCCATCCCAGGCTTTCCTCCAGGCACCTGTATTCCCTACTTCCCCCACCAACCACACACCTGCCGCCCGTACCCACACCTGTAACCCCTAACAGCCACCTACGCCAGCCGATCAGGCACACACACACACACACACACACACACACACACACACACACA